GGCTCACTACTCCCTGCCTGGCTTGCCTTGTAACCATGCTAACAACAGCTGCGGCAAGTAACAAATGCAGGTAGATGTCAGACCAGTACCTCTGTAGTACCACAGGTGATCAAAGTATGGCTGAACCTAGCTAACTGTTAAGCTTCCACTTTAATTTTGAGAGAGGACAGCACAGGGCGCACTCTGATGGTCCCCCACTCTTCTTCGCCTACCATCAAATCTCTAGAGGACTTTCGGCTCGCTGTGAATTTTAAGTGCCCCCTTTCCGTACTAACATAAGCCGCTTACAAACATCTATGCCTTCGCTGAGATTCGAAGTGGGGACTTTTGTTACGGCAGTCAGCGTCACTAACCGCTTTACACTGGCTGGGCTGTCGATAGCTGTGGGAGATGGTCGAAGTATTCGATTTATTTTTCCCATTTCATTTTCATTTAGCGTGTTTCGCTTTGAGAAGAGCGTATGAATGAAGTCTGAATTGAACCCCTGTCTAAGTGTTGTGGAAATGACGAAACGTGTTACGATCGCAAGTGGGAAAGTGTCAAAAAGCTTTGTATTGTATGTAAACCTAATTTAAAGCCAATAATTGTATCTAAGCCTATTTTAAAGTAACAGAATATAGCAATGATGAATTCTAGCTAATGTGGTAGCCTCTTTTCATGCAAGAAATATCATAAAATCCTCGCTAATATATCCAGAGCTGTGGAAGAGAAAATGTCAATGTACGAATGTTGAAAATACATTTTAAAGAGATGTTGCAACGCGTCTTTTTACAATACGATAGTTTAATTTTCAATAGTTCTTTATATTATTTAGTCAGTAAAATATCTTGTTTTATAATTACGCTATAAAACATAAAATTGTAAAAAAAGGAAGTATAAATACATTATAAAAGATAATAAAAAATGTGTTATAAATACACTACATAAAGAATAATGAAAAATATATTCTCGAGAAAATGAATTTAATGGATAGCACAAAACAGCTAATAGATGCTGTTACGAAGCTTTTAACGATACGAATGCGTAGTTCGAAAGGCGAGTAATAACTTGACGATTCTTGTTCGAACGCTAATTTTGTTTCGACGAGTTTGCATCAGTGGTAAATTTGATCTTGATTTGGATACAAAAAAATCATGACGATATCTTTCATTTATATTTAATGAAAGCACCAAAATATATCACAGCAATACAGACACATCGCAACGGCGAACTACAGTTACATAATGTAAAAACAGAGAAGAATTCTTTTGGGGCAACCGCGCCCTCTATACTATGAAAAGTTCTAACAGATGCAAGGAACCAAACGTATTAGATATTGTAAGGGAAGAAAATATGAAAAAGTGAAAAAAATTCATAATTTTTTAAAAAATTGAAATGATTCGGATTTATTTAGCAGTAGAGATAGATATGGCCTTTTGAACAAAAAATGTGTAGTGTAAATGCACCATTTAATAGAAAGAAATAGTCAAGAAATAAAATAAATAATAGAGAATAATAATAAAAGAACCTCCGAAATATGTAGTAAATACACTATAGAACAGAAAAATACTAAATATTTTGCACTGTAAATATGCTATAAAATAAATAATAAAAAATAGTATAAGTACACTGTTTTTTTTACAATTTTTTTCATAATCGGTGCACAGATAATTAGAATCTTTCTGTGCATTTTTTTAAACCTTGAAGAGAACAAAAAATACCATGTTTCTTTAAAATGATACTCTTAATTGCAAAAATAGGAGAAAAAAAAAAAAAAAAAAAAAAAAAAAAAAGAAGAAATGAAAAGAAAACCATTATTTCTTTCATTTTGCATTTTTATTTGAATCATCTTTTAAAGTAAACTTTCACAAAAATATTAAATTTAAAAAATATTAGTTTACGTAGAAGGTAACTCATTATTAATTTCTATTTCCTTTCCTCCAATTATGAAAGTTTTCCATTTGAAATATCTAGTAATTTAACAGCCTTGATTTTATCTCCACTTTTAAGTTAGGAAAAAAAATATCAACTGAAGTAGCAATTGAAGAGAATGTACAGATAATTAAAATTTAATTATCTTCTCTTGGAGTAATTTTGTCATTTGTGCAATGCAAAACTGCAAAAGTTTAAAATTTAATTAGGTACTTTCTTTTCATAATCACCAATGGTTTAAAATTTCATTTGTTAAAAATGCGTTTATTGGTTTTCTCATTAAAATCTAGTTAGCAAAACTCTGAACTAATAATATGAAAATATGTGCTTATCCATAATTAAATGTATTGGTAAAAGTACAAAAGACACGAATTTGGTTTTCTTATTCATATAATCTTACTGTTTCGAGTCGATAAAAATTTTCATGGTTTAATGAAAATTTACAATACGAGAACAGTTCTAGTTGTTGTATTTAAATCATGCTGGCTCAGTGGTGCCCAACCGTTTCGGGAAGTGCCACTACTTAAAAAAAATTATGCGTGCTGCTTCCACCTTTTCGAACATACTAAAAAATATAAAAACAATTGTATTTATGGGCTGATTATGGGAATTTCACGCAAGTAGCGGATATGTTTTGTCACATAAGTCTGAGTAGTGGACATTTCAGAAGTAATAGTATAATAAATAAAATAAAAGTACATACTTAGGTTTTATTGTTCATAAACATTTATAAAGGTTCAATAAGTTTTATGTATAAATAAAAATGAATAACTTGAAACATTTAATTCTAAATGACTAATAGATAATCAGTGCTTAATTAAAATGGCTTTTGAATATGCAGTCTTTTTAATAAGTCATCTATATTGATGGGTGCGTACTGGTTCGTAATGGATTGAATGCACAAGTCGATAAAAAGTTAATAAAATTTTTCATATCGGAAGATATAAAACAAAATGCTGAAATTTCCACAGAGATATTCATACAATATTACAATATCTCACAGTAGTTATATTTCAAACTGCTAAAATGTTATATAGAACACAATTCAAAGCAAAGAAAGCTAATCCGATCTCACCGCGAATTCGCTCCAGTCAACAACAAGCATTAAGTAAACAACTGGACTGAGATGTTTTTAATCCAGCTTTTATAAGCTTTTTAATCATGCACGAGAACAATCTGGTCATTTTTATTTCTCGAGTTTTCTGGAAAGCAAAAGACTACAATTACGAAATATCTATTTATTAAATGTTAAATGCGGGTGCCCCTGTATTTTAACTTCCCGGCGTTGCTTTCTCTTCAAATAAGTTTCGTTCTGCATTTCACAGGGATACAAAACATATTTAATTAATTCTACTAAAAATAGCTAAATAAATACAAAATCCGTAACACTGCCCCCTTCCCAAGGACTGCACGTCCCGGGCAGTACAGTCACTGGACAGGAAGCTAAACTTACAACTAAGGCATAAATGCAATAATAAACATTACATTACAATAACAAACAAAAAAAAATTGTAATAAGTAACAAATCAAGTACTAAAAAAATACTAAATACAAATCAAATCAAATACAAAGTTAGAAACAAAAAGGACCATGGTCTTTCACTATTTACAATTATATACACTACGTTCTATGGCCATAGTAAAAAGCTAACCTGTCGTACTGAAAGACTTTAGGTTTAGAATTCGATGACTTAGGATCCGAACCACGACATCGTTCAGTGTTTAGGACTGTGTACGAACCATCCCAAGATGACTGCAGTTTCGGACAGAGTCCTTTCCGTCGAGTCGGATTCCACAACCACACCTTGTCTCCGTTGAATCCAGTAGCTCTCGTGTCTCGTGTCGTATTGGATTTTCATCTTCTCCGTTATCATTGTTGATTTCAGAGGTATTTCAGAGGTACGTGGTTCGTTTCCCAGCGAAGGCGTTGCTCATTTTTCATCTCTTCTGCTTCCAAAAATCCTAATGTCTCTACAGTGGCGCCCGAACTAAAAGGGTTGCGGATGATGATTCTCCACACCCAGGATTTGGCGATTGGGTCCCCTAAAAACCCCAGTCGCCCTTTAGAAAGGGAAGTATATAAGGTATTTCTCCCACTTTCCTAGCGTGCCTTCGTGGTTTAGTGGTTCTGCACGCTGGGCCGGTATTCCAGAGGTTCGTGGTTCGATTCCCGGCGAGGGCAAAAGAGTCATTCATTCGTATCAATAATAATGCATCTAAGAAAGTTTCAAAAATAATACTTTGCAAAATATATGTCAAACAAGAAGGGTGCGTAACATGATAAAATACTAGCACATAATCCTGACTTTCCATCGCAATCTCAACAATGAGCATAGACACGTATGAGCGATTCGCAGCAATGTTTCATTACTTAAGCAGTACTTTGCAGTAAGAACATGATTTTTGATGTTATAAACGACTTTAAAGATCCCAGTTTAAAGTTTTCGACGTTTACATTACGTTACCATCCATCGGATCCGTCTCCAGTATAAATCCGCGGGCAATGCAGTTAGCGCCCTACATGTGTTAAACATATTAATAGTTCAAATCAAAATATACATTTATTTAATAAATTAAAAAAGAATTTTAATTTATTAAATAAACGTATATTTTGATTGGAACACTTTTAACACTTTCAGTATCTTATAGATTATCTTTATGAGCCTTTTGTAAGGTGAAATCTTTGAAATTCTTGTACCGCAAATCTTGAGGGAAATAAAAAGTAATCCTATTGCTTAATTTTATCAAGGAAAGGAAATTTTACCTTATGCAAACAGAAGTATATTTTTTTAACTATACCGACTTTGTAAAAATAAATTAGGACTGATGAAAAACTTAGTTAAATACTCTCTCCTGCGTTAAAGTGAATGGGAATTTAAAAACATCCTAGTGTATTGGTCTTCTGAAGGCAATGTATTTTGAGTTGCCATTCTCTGGCATCAAAAAGTCAATTTTGTTTTTGCACTAAGCTCTCCAATTGTCAAAATTATTCAATTTTGCCTTGATAAAGTAGTGAGTAGTATAACGTAAGCCGCGGTATAGCTCATTTCAGATGGGACAGACCCTAATTATGACGTCACGAAAGTGAAAATGATACTTCCTCTCTCGACAGTCGCTGTCCACAGATCCATTGCTTGTCTTGCCATGTGTCTGACTGTGACATTTCTTCTCTGTTTTTGCCAGTTTTGTTGGAGTGTCCCTGGAGATGCTGGTAAGCGTAATTTCCGATTCATTTATGTGATTTTAGAAGATTGTGAAAATGGCGTACCATTTTAGCCTAAATGTTTTTCCTAAAAAACTGCCCATTTTATAAAAATATTTTGACGCACTGAAAAATTACTTTTTAAATATACTTCAACTTTAAGGATGAAAAGAAAACATTTCTTTTGTGTTACTTAAAGATGCATTCTTTTTTGAATAATACAATCTTTAGTTATTTTCTTAATCACATTTTTAAAAATTACTTTTGAAATATTAAGCTCATATATATGTTGCTAATTTCAGTCTCGTCCGCACGATTCTATAGAAATATATATGTAAGATTTTATGTTGCTTAACCAGTTGTTATGAGTTGAACCTTTGCTATAATTTCTTCTTTCTGTAGTTCTAACCCGAAGGCAAATTGTTATTGTGCATTTAAACCGAGAGTTTGAATGTTTCGTGTGAGAGCTTTTGGCAGCCTGATCTTGCTGTTACTGACTATCGCCAGCTCTAACAACATTATTCCGGCTTCAGCAGCTTGCAAGAAAATGACGTTTAAAATACACGCCCTTAATTATCTTGAGCCAGTTTAGGTAGTCGATTTTTGAGTATGTAATCTCAGACTATGTTAAGGATATTTAAACTTAAATTTATCTTACGTTAATTTAATTACCCGTAATAATGGAGATTTATCTCACTCACAAGCATTTCATTTAAGAGTTAAATAAAAATGTCATTTATAAATAAAGAGTTATAAAGCCTGTTCATTTAAGATTAAATAAAAAGATTATTTTAACCTTCGTAAAACTTGTCATTACTTCAGACTACAGCGATGACTCGCTTCCAGTCTAGTAGTCTGCAGGGCATTAACATAAGCTTTACGACATATGGATGTGGTGATGTGTGGTGGACTGTAGGATGTTAACATAAGCTTAAAGACAGATCGGTATAGATAGGGATATGTGAACTGTGGTCGACACCCATTATTTAACAAATAGTCGTAGCAAAGCATTGAAAAAATATCTTTTAATCCATTCCTTAATTTTAATGCTGGAAAGTAAATATTTATTTGGTTTTACTTCAAGAAATATTCCTTAAAACATATGAGCATATTTTATGCAAAATGTAATCAACGTATCTAGTTCAGGAACGTTATTTTAATGAGAGGCGCTTTATCCTTGAAAACGCGTTCTAATCAAAGCAGATTGTACTAGATATAGACTCTGATGACATTACTTACCGACTGTCAGTGAATTATTAGGAATCATGGAAGTAATTTTTGTTGTTTCTGCTAACTGCACAGATTTTGCTTAATAAGTGTGTGGTAATACCTTCATGAAAAGACATCTAAGAAACTACTTGAAAGGACAGCACGTTTAAATATATTTAAAGTATTTACATTTTTAACAAATAAGTTAGTATGAACTGAATTAACTTACATTTTTATTTACGTCTTTCTCGTCTTCGTTCTTTTACTGCATCTTGAGTCCAACTAATCTAATTGCCAACTCACAAAATGAAAAATAAAACATTAAAAGAATTATGCGATGAGCAATCTGTACGACATCTAGTATTAAACATTGGCACTACATCATTCGGCCATCCTGCACTCGTCTGGTCCTCCAGGCGACACTGCAAATAAAAAAAAAAGACAAAAGCAAAACAAGAAAGATAATAAAAATAAAAGTAATGTTTTTAGAGTCCTGATCGTCTCTCAGTTTCAAGAATGAGAAAATGAGCGAACATCATCTTCAAGCTGCATCTGCCATAGAAACAGTAGTTAACGTCTTTAACCGTAGTTTCTTCGTCTTTAGGCATCCTCTCGTTCTTCTTTTAGGCGTCTCTCTTTTTCGTCGTTAAGCGTCTTTCCTTTCGTCTTAAGAGCGTAATCCCCGGTTTTGTTTTTTTTTTTTTTTTAAGTTTTCGTCTTTATACAAAAATATCTAATTTACTTCTTTTTCTTCTTCAATTTTCTTCTCTCTGTATTAGTCCTAGGAATTAATTGTTCCATGATTTTAGAAATTTAACGCATGTCGTCGTACAGTTGGGACCTTCGTGACTTCCTTCTATGACTAACGTCGTAAGTATTCCCTCCTTTAACTTTAGTTATTCTGTACGGTCCAAGGTATTTTTGTTTTAATTTCAAATGTGGACCAAATTGTGTTCTTTTTATAGCTACCAAATCTTCGACTCTGTAAGGTCTTCGTTCTCTTCTCCTTAAATTGTATGTCTTCCTATTTTCTTCCTGAATTTAAATAACTGTTGCTTTGCATGTTTTCTAAGTTCTTCTCTTTTAGCTTCAAAATTCGCTTGAAATTCAGCTTCGATTATTTTAATCAACTGATCAATACCTTTAGCATTCCTTTTTGTCCCCAAAGGGTGTGGTATCTATACTTCGCTGGTACGTCGAGTTAATATCCTGCTGCAGTTCATTTGTGTGTCTGTACCACTGAGCCGGATTTTCTAAAGATAACTTTGAAAGAACTGATATGATAGTCTGATTGATACGTTCGACTTAACCGTTGGCTCTAGGCAAGCCGGTAGTAATCAGATGATGCTTAATGTTCTCTTTAGAACAATAATCGGCAAATTCACTGGAGGTGAATGCTGTACCTGTATCCTGGGAAGGACTGCCAAATACAGCCTTCTACAACTCCAACTTCGCTATGACATCAGCATATGTTGTGGACTTCGTCAGATAAACCCATAAAAATTTAGTAAATGCATCGATAACCACTAAAATGTACTTATAATTTTTATGTGTACTCTCCAAAGGTCCGGGGTGTACACACATACATCTTCTTTCTGTAAAGGATGTAGGAGACCTTCTTTCTTTCCTTTCTTAAAGTTCACAAGAATACAGTGAACACAATTTGATATGATATTTTCTACTTTCTGTCTTAGTTTAGGGATAAAATAATATTTCTTGATGTTTTCTTAGTATATTTGACTCCTGAATGTGCTTTCTCATGAGCATTTCTTATTATTTCTATTTGCATACTTTCAGGCACAACCACAACCACTAATTCTTTACCATCAACAAATTTAAGTAAAATTCCATTTCTGTCGCAGTAATCTTCATAACTAGAAATTTTAAACAATTCTTTAATCGCTTTTATTAAGCTATCCTTATCCTGGGCCGATTTTCACTTTGGTAAGATGTTATCTACAAAAACACAAAGAATATTTATGGGGGATCTACTTAGGGCGTTGACGTGAGCCATCCTAGCATCAGAGCGATGCTCAATCACATAATTAAATTCTTGTAGTAATAAAGTCCAACGAGCAATACGAGTTGATAAGTAACGTTTCGAAATAGTCTTTTCGAATTCAGAACAGTCAGTAACAATTTTAAAAGAAATTCCCAACAGGTACACAACAAAATTTCTTTAATGGTTCTATGATTGCTATAGCTTTAAGATCGTAACTAGAGTATTTCTTTTTCGCGTCTGCGGTCTTTTTACTGATGAAATAGGTAGGGTGGAAACTATTATCGTTTGGAGACCTCTGCATTAAAATTGCTCCATATCCCTCTAACCTAGCGTCAGTGTGCAATTCAGTCTCATAACTGAGGTTATAGATTCCTAAGACAGGCTTTTCAGCTAATAATGACTTTAACCGATTGAAAGAATTTCTTTCCTCCTTGTCAAATTTAAACTTACGATCTTTTTTCAAGAGATCATTCAAAGGCTTAGCAATAATAGAATATTTTGGAATAAACTTCCTGAAATATCCGATGAGTCCAAGAAAACTATGAATTTGTTTCAATTCTGGAAAATTAAGGACCGCTTTCGTTTTTAAAGTGGATGGAAAAATTCTACCTTCTTCGGTAACAAGACCCAAGAATTCGATTCGCTTCCTCAAAAAATGAGATTTCTTATAATTAATCTCGAGTTCGTATTCGCTAGTAAGCTTTAAGACCTGTTCGCGCCGTTCGATTCCTTCTTCAATGGAGGACGACAAGATTATTACGTCATATATATACCACAAAACAATACCATCATTAATTAAAGGTCGGAAAATAGTGTTTATGTACCTCTGAAATACAGCCGGGGAATTGAATAGACCAAAAGAAACTTTGAGAAATTGATATTGACCTTTGTGTGTTACAAATGATGTATACTTCCTGCTATCCTTGCTTACATCAACATGAGAAAACCCATTTTTAAGATCAATCTTACTAAACACATGTGATCCCTGTAACTGATCAAGAATATCTTCAATTAATGGAAATGGAAACCTGTCCTTTACTATTACTTTATTCAACCTCCTATAATCAATACATAAACGAAGTGTTCCATCTTTCTTTTTAACATCTACAACTGGGCTACAATATTCTGAAGAACTAGGCTCTACTATTCCTTCTGCTAACCATTCAGCTACTTGAGCTTCAAAAATTCCTTTTTCTGAAAATGGCAACCTACGAGGCTGATGAAATATAGGTTCATTAACTTTTACCGAAAGGTTCATTTCTATGTTTGTTGTTTTAGTTTTACACGGTACATAACTCGAAACTAATTGTTGCACCTTATCTCTGAAAATATTTGGAACATCAGATTCAATATTTACTTCGGTTTCGTCACAAATTAAATCAACTGGAAGAATAAAAGAAGTATTTATTTCTTTTATGCACTGAGATTTGTTTCTAATCGTAACTCTATTTTCATTTATTAGAGTTTCACCCTGCATTAACACATCAGGTCCTACGATGACGTCACAAGGCATAACATCATTTCCATTACACAAATGTCAGCATTATACTTAAAGTCATCAATTTGAATACATTCTTTAAAACAGCTTAATGGTTCTACTCGGCATTTTCCAAACCCCATCAAAGTATAATTCGAAGGACGTAAATATTCAACATTTAATTTATCAAAAATAGACTTTCTAAGCAATGTTGCTTGACTCCCAGTGTCTATTAATGATTTTACCGTTAAATTACCAATCATTATCATTTTGTTCAATTTCGATTCAAAATTGACATTTAAAGTGGCTATTTCTGATTTC